AGCTGTTACACTGCATTTCAGCCGAGCGCCGTGAGCTGTTACACTGCATTTCAGCCGAGCGCCGTGAGCTGTTACACTGCATTTCAGCTCCCAGTTACCTTCAGCACTGGCCTGGGTAGCACAGCTGACAAAGGTGATTAATATGAAATAGTGGCTTTGACGGCTGATGAATAATCATAAGGTCCAGAGTCCCCTGTGTGAGCTTAGTAGTGGAGCCTGGGCAAATGGAGAGTCTGTTTGCATCCATGAGTATTGATCGGACATAATGCCGAACATGTAACGAAGATTGCGTCCCTTTACGCGCAGCAGGAAAGGAGCCGCATGCCCGCGCGGGTCGCTGCTGAATGCCGAAGGCGAATTTAGCCGTGTCGAGATGCAGACTTCTGGCGCAGAAGGATTGGGGTTTCCATGGCAACCCCCTATAGGCTGCGCACGGAGGAGGCCGTCTGCGATAACCTGGGCTGCTTGGGTATTGGCTGGCCGGTCCTCTGATTTGAGTCAGTCCTCCAGATGGATGGCGTGGCGCAGTGAAAGCAGCATGTCTGCAAATTCAACTACTTAATTGTTTTTTTTTTTCTGTAAATATTGTCAACATGCAACATGAAACGGGCAGCATATGGTGTGGAAATGGTGTACATGTGTGCTTGACTGGACACCAGGAATCATCACATGGTGTTACTGCAGGATCCAGTGATCGATGCAGGATCCAGTGATCGATGACGTATAAATGACAGTGAATGAGGAGCCAGATAAAGGTATGTACTGTAATAATCCTGATGTCTCTCCTTCCCCACCTCCTGCCTTCTCTCCCTCCATCTTTCTCCTCTCCTTCTCCTTTTCTCTTGCACCCTTTTCTGTCTCCTCCCCGACTCTTGTTCCGCTGGATCTTTCTCTCTCTCTTCCCTTTCTCTCTCCCCACCTTCCCCCTCTTCTTCCTCCCTCCCTGTTTCATGCCCCCCCCCCCCCCCCCCCCCCCCCCCCCCCCCCACCCCCCCAAGGTGCCTGCCATCTCAGGATGGTGTAACTCTGAGAATTCCCTTGAACTGTACACTCCACAAATTTAAATGCAAAATAAAACAACAGTGCCTCACAGGAATGACCTACTTTGTTTTAAATATCACTTTACAGGAACTCTGTGTCTTTAAAAAGGGTAAAAAGTAGGCTGAAAAACAAAATTTAATTAATGTCAAGCGTTTAGAAATATATTCCCAGAATTTGATTTCAGCTCTGCTGTAATAGCTGGAAGACAAGAATATAGATACAATTTCTGGGAAAAATTACAAAGCTAAGACAAGCTAAAGCAGAGGGAAACTAGAGGGTTAATATAACAGGTAGCAGACCTGGTGCAGATGTGGTCCAGCAGGTGACTGGGGTCTGTCCCAACCCAGGTGATCATGCTCAGCTCAGTGACGGAGCTCCACACCTACATCGACAGAACACAGCTGACGGAGGAGTTGGGTGGGACCCAGGAGTACTGCCACGAGAAGTGGATCTCGCACCGTACCGTGAGTGCTGCTCCAAAGCAAGCTCCTTGCTGAAGCTTCTCGCTGCCCTTCTGTGGATCTAAGCATCTTCTCTGGTATCATCTCATGGTCCCGTCAAGGCCATCGAAGGCTTTGCTCTGATGGTGAAGAAGACGGCCCAGACGCTGCAGTCCTTCGGGACGGAGCTCGCTGAGACGGAGCTTCCCAATGACGCCCTGGCCACCACCAGCCTATTAGGGGCTCACACAGAGAAGAAGGACCAGATGAAGGTGGGAGAGGGTACCGGGGTGTGCTAGCTTACAAGTGCGCCTCCTGCTGGCGGCTTACGAGTCGCTCTCTGCAGGAGGATCTCCGGATAGCCCAGAACCAGGGGGGCAGGCTGCTGGAGAGCATTAAGGAGCCGGTGCTGAAGAACCCAGAGTACATAATGAACCAGGACGAGCTGGAGAACCTGGCCACAGTGCAGCGGTATGATGCTGGGTTACGAGGGTGGGGGGGTGTTCCAGTGACCAGGTCATGGGTTTGAATTCCAAACCTGGCATGTATCTTACTATTAATCAGCCATTTTAACTCTTAACCATCATGATCATTCAAACTGTATCCAGTACTCGAAGATTCTCATATATGTTATAATTAAGCAATAACATACGAGAAGGGCTGCGATTTGGTCGTAGGCACGAAGCCTCCACAAAAAAATAATAGTTCCCACCAACCAACTCTTTCCCACCAACCAATCAACTTTCACCAAATAGCACAAACACTCCAAAGCAACACAGCTCACTCGTTCCCAGCTACTTTGCATCATGTAAATTTAAGTAACGGCTTTTATATGCACCTGTAAAGGAGAGTGATACATCTGATGTGAAATGTCCAGGTCAGTTATACTCTGATAACCGCACTCATAGGACGCCTGTTGTCCAATCAGATTTCGTGGTTGGAACTGACTGTTGTATATTAGTGAAATAATGCATTACAGACATTTCTCGGAGGTTTGAAGCTTGGAACATACAGTCGATTTTTATGCCGTCGGGCTGTCGTGAGATTTGGTGATTGCTCGTCATGCCGGTGTGTGAGGCACAGTTGGACACTGACGGTCCCCGTTTGCGCCGTTTTGGCTGATTGAACATATTGAATTGGCATCAAAACTAGTTGATGAAACTGAGCTCTGATCAGGCTGTACGTCAGCAGTCGCCTCTGGCCATGCCGGTGTGTTCCGGCACAAATATTTAGAATCGACCAGAGCCGATCGGCTTTGGTTGGCTCTAGTTTTTTGCCATTGGCTCGGTGCGCACTCAGTTTAACAGCAGGTCCCCTCCTGGGATGAGTTCAGAGTTTGAGCGGCTGTCAATCCGCAGGCTGATGTCGCAGCTGGACGAGACGGAGGCCGCCTTTGACGAGTTCTGGCAGCGGCACCAGACCAAGCTGGAGCAATGTCTGCAACTGCGCCACTTCGAGCACGGCTTCCGGGAGGTGAGTGGGGGGCGGGGGGCATGGCACCGGGGGGGGTGGATACATGGCCCCCCCCGTGTCATTCAGTCAAGGCCAAAAAAGTGTGACGATGAATAAGTTATTATGGATACGAGAATAGTCAGCAAAGTGATGTGAAAGTGATCAAAACACTAAAAATGCCAAAAGTCTTGTATTTATTTTGGTTACTTATGGTTAAGGTTAGAGCTGGGATTAGGGGTTTTCCGTAGAAATGAATGGATGGTCCCCACAAAGATATGAATACAAAGGTTTGTGCATGTGTACACGCCCACAGGTGCGGGCCCAGCTGGACACGGCTGCTGAGCGACTCGCGGGATTCAGCGATGTGGGGATCAGCCCCGCCCATGCAGAGCACATCCTGCGGGAGCTGAACAATCATGAGGAGAAAGTCTCTGTAAGAAAACCTGCTTCCGCTTTGCCACACCAACTTGCCACAGTCGGCCGGTTTCACCAGAACCAGTTTAAAAACTGCTATGTTTATATTCTGCTGACAGAGAGACATTGTCTCCTCTCTGGGGATCTGTTTTGGGTGCCCTGTTAACTCACCTGACCCCAAGGTCAAAGGTTAATAGGGGTCACAGATAATCACTCCAGCCTTCATTATCACATGGGATATATAAACCCCATTTCCATTAGTTAAGAGGGGTCAAAGGTTGAGGCTCAGGTCGAGTTGAAGACAATCGCATTCATTGTTTTTGCGTAACCAACACTAATCAGCGGTTTGGCGTGCGTGGATGTCACAGCTGCATGCGCAGGGGGATTTGCGGTTTGGCCTGCGTAGATGTCACAGCTGCATGCACAGGGGGATTTGCGGTGTGGCCTGCGTAGATGTCACAGCTGCATGCACAGGGGGATTTGCGGTGT